TCTTTTGTATTGTATAGTGCTCCGAATACAAGACTTTGACCTGACAAATATACCTACTGTATATACTACGGTAGTATATAAAAGAACAGTGTAGGTAGCGGTGTTATCTCCGTACATGCGGACGTTTGATATCAATCCAAGGCCAAGGTCAGGAGGTCGAAGGTCAAATGGGATACGTCTGATCTTTCTACAGTCGCTTATCAAGACCGACTTCTTCAAAGTATCATTAGAATAGGGAGGCGATAATTGACTTTTTAGATACACGTATTTTTAAATGCTGACGTATTCCAATCAATTTGTACGGTAGCGTAACCCGGTAGCGTTATTATAAAAGTTGGCTAACCAGAGCTGTACAGGAAAACACCACCGAAAAAAGAAGATATGGTAGACAAGAAACGACAAAGAGGCTTAGTGCCGCAAAGAGGCACCAGATCAAATTAGTTTTTTTTTCGATTTCCCCTTACTTGAGCAAAAGAATCGGACGGAAAATTCCGATTTTCTTAGGGCCCCTCACCTTATATAGTAATTATAACCTCAAAGAACAACGCTACATGTCATTTCTTTACGGACCCTGCACATTTACGGTTCCCGTGTCCCTGTGATAGATGTCTGAAGATTGAAGAATGAGTTCTGATTTCTATGTACCTTTGGTCGAGATAATAATTATAACGAACTACATGTAGTTCCGGTGTACATGTCCCTGGGGAAAGTCAGGCCACGGAAGATTATTTGCAAACTGGTTGGAAACCGGGGCAACAAAGTTCAGCAGCAAAATTATGAGAATCGACCAAAGCTAAATCGGAAGAATGAGTCGGAGTGGTGGCATTCAGAAATGGGAGAACATTTTGGTAACAAAGAGAACAAATATCTTTATAATAATAATATATTAGTGTTTCTTAGTGGACATATTCCTGTACAATATTGTATGTTTAAATCTATCACAAAATACTTTTTGATATGAAATAAAATAATATTTTCCCAAACATAAAGAAAGGATGTTTCTTTCTTGCCAACCATACTACTGATAAAATTACATAAACTTTAGTGCAGATATTTTTTCCAGCACAAAAATATGATTGTGTTCTATTTGTACACGAGATATAGCAATGAATGATTGAGACATATATATGTCAGACACATGGATGGATGCGTATATGTGGGTAATAAAATGTTGATATGTAAAAAAAAAGAAGACAGAAATGAGTATGCAAATTTGTGCTAGTGTGGATAAATATGAGAATCCTGAGAATGTATGTATTCTTTGACAAATGTGGACATTGGACAATGTATGTGTGAGCATGTACATTGCATTGATGAAAAATCTGAATAAAAAGATAATTATAACAATAAGTTTGGGTCTCTCTTGACGAGTAAGAAAGCGGCTAATATTTTATGGTGCCATCACAGGATATAGATTAAGCGATGAATATATTCCGGTTCCCATGCCCCTGTGATAGAGATCATATTCATATGCATAATTAATGAATTCCGGTCCCCATGCCCCTGTGATATAGATCATATTCATATACATAATTAATGAATTCCGGTCCCCATGCCCCTGTGATATAGATAATAATTATAATGATTTAAATCCAGGTTCCATGCCCCTGTGATAGAGATCATCATCATCATCATCATCATCATCACACTTTATTTCCTCTAAAAAGGAGATATTTGAGTACAAGAAAAAAAGCAAAAATTACAAAAAATTACAGAAAATGCCGCGGTAGGGCGCAGCTACAGAACTGTGTCCTCGCGAATGCGAGTAAAAGTCTTAGGTCATGGTTTCTTAAATCATTCCATTCACTTGAGTTCGCGGAGCGCGCACGACAAAGTATGCTGCATGCATCAGAAACAGTTTTTGAGTTGTATATTATCTCCGGTCCCCATGCCCCTTTGGTCAATGACAATCACATACACAGGAGGAGGGAGACTATACGTATTTGTCTGTTTTACAATAGACAGGTGTTAGGTTGTGTTCTGTCCCACCTGACAAGGTTCGGTAGGTGTGACATTCTCGTCATTCCGCACCTTAACACATTCCCGGAGGTAAGGGTGTCGCACATCGCCCGATAGTGACGAACCTCAGGCCATTTCTGGTTGCTTTTGAACTTTGAATTCCTTTAAATCAAATACGACAGAAATATATCGGTATACTTCTCTGTGTATTTGACAAGATATCGAAATATTTCCACTTTAAATTTCGTCTCAAACCGATTGACGATAAAATAGTTATAGTTATTCCCGACTGTAGACATTTATTTCGGACAAAGTTATCATGAACCTTTTCAGATTTCAAGTGTTTCACCTTTTAAAGTTCCCTTATAATGATATCATGTAAACTTGCGTTCCTTCATCATGACTTCTGCATCCTTCTTAAAAAAATCCTGGCTCACCGACCGGGTGTGGCAAGATAGTGAGAAACGCAAAAATGTATCATTAAATGTTGATGTCTGTGTCTATATAAACCTGCCCACCTAACGAAGGATCGTTATAATTAATTAAATGAGTTGAAACTATTATTCGCAAGTTAATATTAGATTTATTAATATACGTATGTGTTACTGCATGTATATTTTTGAAGAGCGTACTAAATTTCACCTTTGAAAACAAATGCCTGGTTGTTGAATACAATTTTGTAGAGGCTCAGTAGGGTTACTGTATACCAAACACACTGTACGAACTGTTCCCCGGATTTCGTCAGAATGTCGGGATCAGGGGTCGTTATCTATCTTCGTAAGGTTGTCGCTTTGGGACGAAAGTGTCAGAGCCCACCAAGATTTCGTCAGAATCTGTCGGAATACTTGATGATTAGGAAGCAGAAGTAAATGTCAGTAACTCAGAACCTGAGTAGTTTGTTTTTTATTAGATAATGAAGTCTGTCGTAGAGAAATGGACGTATTTATAGACTAAGCCAGTTCAAGTTCTTTATTTGCCGAAGTTTTACAATTTATGGCAATTACAGATAAGACAAAGACCCTCACACTGACTCGGAAACATCAACCTCATCATCAAGAACACTCACACTTACTCGCACACATCACACATCATCCTCATCCTCATCATCTTCATTATCCTCATCTTCATCATCATCATCACTATATGTACGACACTATAACAGCAGTGCCAGGTACGAGTCGAAACCAAATCAAGCGAAAGCATTAGGCTGGGTATACTGTAAGCTCAATGTGTATCATTAGGCCGGGTATACTGTATAAGCTCAATGTGTATCATTAGGCCTTGGTAGGTCAGGTTCAGGTCACACGTAATGTTTATCCGTTCCCATAGAGTGAAACATACACACTTCCGTTCGTACCGATAGTTAATACAGGTTATGTAACCCTTGTTTACGGTGTCCGCACCTTTAAACACATTGTATTGGTATAGATTAAGGCTTTTAATCCGAAAAAACTATCTCCTTTCAATTTTTATGGGGGGTGGGGGGAGGGATGAGTGGTTCTCCATTGAACAAAACAAGTGAATAAAAGGAAAAAGGAGAAAAAGGAGAACTAAGAAAGAGTTGATTGATACTTGGGTACATCTTTTGAAATCAACTCTGTAGAAGAGATACGAGTATTGTAAGCGGAACCCTTGGATTCCGAAGCTTCTTCTTGCATCGAACTAGCACCTGTTATAACCATTTACCATAACATTCCATGCATTGGCGACATGTCAAAACACTAATTAGTTACTTTTAATTTTGATAAAACTGATGTTTTATTTATCTCGTATACTATATAACTTTATTTAGATCACAACTAAATTAAGTTTTAATTCTACAACTCTCAGCAAGCATGGGTATTTGGGTGTAATACTTCGTCCTAAAGGCAGTTTGAGTGACCAAGTAAAATATACCAATATATACAAACTTTAAAAAATGATAAATGAGAAAGACATTTTTTTTAGTCATGCAAAGTAAATTTCTCAGTAAAATTATTTCATCTTTTTTTAACGACCTGCCATTGAATATGCCCGAGCATTTTGGAAAAGTTGCTAGTACGAAATTTTATACGGATTTACACGAAAAGCTACATTTGTAGCTGGTTTGGCAAATAGGTGTTAGAAAACACTTTTAATACTTCTAAAACTGTAAACAAGAAGATCTAGAGTGGGTCTTCTTACAGAGAGGTTCTACTTCAAACTTTTGTTCAATTTTCAATATTTACATACCCGAGTGCTACCCAGTCCGTATATAAAGGATAAGATTCGTCGATAATAGCTTTGTAATGATGTGTACAGTGCAATCCGATCTACATCCAATAGGTCGATTGTTGACATGTTTAAAAAATATCATTGTGACGTCATCTGATTAAAAAATAGCGGGTGGTTACAGATAAGTACAGATATGTAGTGTTGCCCATGTCCGTCCCGTCCCTGAGCGGGGGGCATTTATGTCCTACAGACAATTTCTAGTCTTATCAATGTTGTCTCGATTCTGGAATTTAAATATACATCGATCTCCCAATATGAATGTGGTTGATTTATATTTACAAAATTATTTCATTCGTTCTTCATTTCCATCGTTTTCAGTTCGATCTCAACAGTAATCAGTTGGTTATTAATAAAAATTCCTCATTCATAAAATATGATTGTTCATCGTGTGATGTAATTGACAACAGTAAGAAATTCTGACGTAGGCGGTGAATCATTCCGGACCACAGAGACCCGAGTATTTGTTACAGCTATATTTGCACATTGGGGTGGTATTTTTACCCAAAGTTGATCTAAACCCCTTAAACGTGTGAAATCACTCTGAACACCTTACTTTAGGTCATTAGCTGTGACAAATCCTCAGGTCCCTGTACCGAACCAGTATGAATCGTATACAGGTAGTCAGGGTCACAGGTCACGGTGTGTGATTGAGTGTAAGCCTATCCTAGTACATAGTAGCTCCAACAGTGAATAGTGACGCAAATATTTACCACGTGGTCACACCAACCAAAACATCAGACCATTCTCCCTACGCCAATGACGAAACATAAAAGTCAACTCGGTCACGCTTGAAGTTTTCACCTTTTTAATGTAGACATATATATATAAATTTATAAGGCGAAGTTGAGAACTTGCTAAAGTTCTGTGAATAACAAAGATAATCTTGAACGTTTATAACATTCATTCATTTTCATCACAACACAATTATACACATATCATTCAACACATTAAAATGAACACAACTTCATTTTGTAAGTAAATAAATAAGTTATAACTACAGTATTGTGTATATATAACACCTAGCTGCTCTAAGACGTCGTGCTGGATTTATTGTCAACGTATTCTGTTCTTTATTGACCAGGTACAAAGTTCATACACGAATAAAACGGTAACTACCTGGTTCAAACAAAAAATGTCATCTTCTGAACCTAGCTTATGAAGCTTCATTCGTTTATATCCTTGTTACACACATATGGTTATTTCACTTTTGTTTTCTTTAACTTATAATAATTTCAACCATTGAGAAATTTCCAGAGTTTATAATGTACCTTTTTGTGTCGTAAACTCAATGCAAAGGAGTCGCACATTGAACAGCTGATCACAAACCACATGTTCTCCATATCCACGCACATACTCATACACACGTTTAATCATACGATCTATTTTGGCAACGAGAACCATGTAAACATTAGCTAACCGTCGATGAGCTGTATCGTCATGGATTAATAGTTACGGTAAAACCAAATTTATCGTATGCACAGCACTGTTCGTTTATGGCACCGTAAACGGTAACATGCTTATTATATTGCAAGCAGAGATAGCAATGTGTTACATTGTGTACAAGTCGACCGTCTTTCCAACATAGAAAATAGAAAATAAAAAGGGATTCGTTTTTGAGCAATAGTACGGTTTAAAACCATAGTACATTGAAAAGTATATCACAGGATGTCCATGGTTTCTGGACGAAAGAGCGCGAGAACACATCACACTGGACCACACTTTATAGTTAATTAGCCTTATTGGCGGTTCCTAGTCCGAGGATGGGTATGTGATGCTGGCTGGCAGTAGAATGTCTATAAAACGACGTTCTGGTGGATCAAACGAGTCACGAACCTCACTTGTTCCTTTATGAACTTCTTTTGTGGTGACACGCCCTGTCAAGTAACCCTTAGCATCGTTATAATTCTGGGGAATCTTTCATGCGTTCTCCGGGTCGTCAAGGAGTTATAAGGGTGTTGTCCTCAGCCACACAGTCAGATAGCGAAGGGGGCCAGTGAGGGACTTTGAGATGATTTCCCGCCCACTTCCGACTCGTACCGATTTGTTAAATAGTTAGCAGTGTCAGTCATTTGATGTAACAATCTAAATATACCTGACAAATGATGCCGGAAAGCTGCTGCGGTTTTCTTAGCAGATTCTTCTGTATGAGTATTTTCGAGTTCCCCTTCGGGGGCCTCTTCCGTATCGCCCAAAACAGCTGACTGCACTCTATGCGGGCCGACTGTCAAGTCTGTTTTCACCGTTTTGAGAAGAGAATAAAAACTATATAAGTCCGTACCTTGTTTTACAGTAGGTAACAGTGCCTTGTTATTGTTCTCCTCGGCTACCACGGGTATATTTGAGGCGGTAACTTCCATATCTTTGAGTCGATTGGGAATCATAACAGTGACGTCCATTGAATCGACTGCATGCACAAATTTGTTCAAAGCAGACATCAGGGAGTCTTGGCTACACTCTCCATTGCTTAATATTACACTCCTGTTATCCATAGTGGTGTGTTACTCTCGAATGACAGCGAATCTAGTAATGTTTTCACTCAAATATCAAAGATTTATCACTCCTCAACTCGCCGGCAATGACTGTGTGCTGCTTAATATGCGTGCAAGTATTACTTCCTGTTTGGGCGATACCACTTTTAGGTAGGACAGGTTTAATCTAAACGCAAAAAAGTGAAATGGTATTCATGTTTTAAACACTTTTTCGCATCATCATATTGTAATTAAATATAACAAAATATTTACAATTATATTCTGACTTTATAAACATTTAAACATTGTTTTATTGTATTCAAATCTATACGCAATACCTTGATGTTCCCTAAGCGACGAGTCGACTGGTAGTCAAGGTCGACTGATAATGCTACGTTTTGATTGGTCATTTAACATCACCTTGTCGCATGGAATAGTTCGAAATCAAAACAGACGCACATGGTTTGCGATGACTCTGCGGTGGGGTACACGTGCTATTTTTACAAGGTTATATCTGTTAGTGCGCCGTGATCGTGTTTGATTTTTTTTTAATACATGTGAACTAACCACGTACCGTGGGCCTTGTAAGGGATTAGTATCGTGTAAATTTACCTTCATATGTATATGATTGACATAAGTTTCGTTCTTTTGTCTTTCGCCGATTAAACTACGAATTGTATTGTGCCGAAATATTGATAGAAAATTCTTGTACGAAAGAGAAAATTCTAATGAAAAAATATCTTTCATGGATATTTGCCCGTTTATAGTTATTGGTCGAAATCTAGTACCACCGATAGGTAATTGATTTTTTTTATAGATTTGAACCATAATATACTGGTACGTACATGCACGGAATATAATTCCGTGGAGCATGTCAGGGATGTGTAGTAGACTACACATCCATGTACATGTAAACAATTTTAAAGCGATTTTTATTGTATCCACTGTTTGTAATACGTATTTAAGTAACATGAACTATGAAACACTGGGTCCTGTACATGTATACACGGTGTTGTTGTAACAACTTTGTGTAATACCACGTACGGACTTACATAGCAATCTAATTCCGTTGTGATACATAATAAACAAGTTGATTAGGGGTTAAGTGTCTCCTATCCGTTACGTCCGGTTGGCGAGGAAATGACCGATCAGTTAGACTACGACGCAGAAAATATCCTATCGACGGTTTTTTGACATCACTCCGTAGCAAACCCATCAAAATTCAAAACCTTCTTTTATCATTTTTTTTTTCATTTTTTTTATAGTGAATGATATGATCTTGAAAGCATTTATTTTTGTTTTTAATAGTGGTTGTCGGGTATATGGCACATGCTTGAACAAAGTTGATACACGTAATACATAAATAAATAACATGTATTCTCTCTGTTTGTTAAGAAAATAAAATAATAAAAAAACTTTTAGTCTAGTATACAATTCGAAATACAATAGGTCCTATTCACAAAATCGTAGACATTTGACGACTGGACATGATATATCAGCCCCCCCTCCTCAGTTTTGTCGCTATTATGTAATTCCAAGATGTAACTACAGCTAATAATTCATATCAGCTGGTCAGAGTGAATATAATGAATTCCATCGTGAAGGTATAAGCTACATTGTTAATGTTTTAATCGCTTTCCAGTACATTCTGTACCAGCTTACCGACATGAGAGTGGGTTTACGGTAATACGAACTTATATTCTTTATAATTACTTAACAATTTTCTCATTGTTTTGTCGTGTTTCGACCCGTTAACATGTAAATATGTCAAACAAGAATTATGTTAAACAGCTGAAAATCAGTAAATACACGAAATTCCTAACGAAATTATAGTTATTAGTTGAATTAAATAGCTTTCTATTAGTAATTACAGGTCCTTCCTGGAAATTCAGTAAAAATTTAACCGTTTTACTGACATTATTATACAAATATATACATACTAATCTTATTAATGTGTATTTTTTTTAGAAATGATTAAATCAGTTATCATTTATATTTGGAAACAGGTACTGGTATGTCTGCCCTATTGCATGGTTCCGAGGGTATAAAACATTCCCGCGAAGAGTCACTGTGGGGATGGAAGTCCTTGGCATACGTAATGTGTACGGCCTGTGGTTACATATCTATACGTACATATCTATACGTACATATCTATACGTATATATGTTTGTGGAGAGGTCTGTTTTATCGATGATATAAGTTCCGTATGTAAGTGGTAAAGTAGATAACAATCGTACGTGTTATCCATGAAACAGCTGCACGGGACGTGATGAGTCATTGACCTTAGAACACTGAGCAGTTGACTCTATCTAAATCCTGACTCCCCCCCCCCCC